ACACACACACACACACACACACACACACACACACACACACACACACACACACACACACACACACACACACACACACACACACACACACACACACACACACACACACACACACACACACACACAGACATACAGACATAGTGACAACATCGCAGGGCTAGTCAGGGAAGCTTCCTGTGACCTTCAAACGTTGAGATCTGATGAAAACTCGATTTTTGCAAAACGGGGTGAAAACAATAACTTCCCGATTCGTGAAAGTCTTTGATTTTCTTAGCGGGAAATTAAAAATAGAAAATAAATTTTAATAAATATAAATTAATAATAGTGTAAAAGAAAAAATGTATTTTACTGTAAACAAAGCGTGGGGTGCATGGAGTCAATAGTTATAAATATCTTAAAAAGCACCCCACGCTTTTTTAAAAATAAAATCCATTTTTTTCTTATTTACACTATTATTAATTTATATTTATTAAAATATACTGTCGATGTTTTAGTTTGGTTTTCCATATAAAGTGTGTTGTTTAGTTTTTTTAAACTATCCCTGAATAAACAACATGATTAGAAATGATTTAACTCCCATGAGGAGCAGTATTTGAAATGATTTCAAATTGAATCATTTTAAATCCTTTTTAGCCCCTTTAAATCATATTGTTTAATCAGGGATTTATTTATTTATTTATTAAATTCCCAACAGCCTACTGGCCAATTACAGGAACACCATATAGTGCAAATAATGTACATTTATAGTAAAGAGTTTGAATTACATTTCATGTTGATTATAATTATAATTAAGCTAATTTATTACACAATTGGATTTAAAGACTTAGTTATCCAGGGCTTTATATAATTAATAGAGGAACTACTAGTAAGATTTATAATATACTTTGACTAGTTAAAACTAACATTATCACGTAGCTGAACTAATCAGGATCTCAGGACATTAGCGTTGAGAGAATTATTTGAGTTCAAAATGTCTACCTGATCACTGTTTTGGCTGATACGATTACAAGTATATAATAGCCTGTATAGCGGTGATGACTTAGTGAAATTGGTACGCGCTGTAGGAAGGTAAAATGATAAATTCATTCTAGTTGTAATTACGGGAGCGTGCAGGGGTATCATACCTAGGAATCTTGGACAATCAATGTTACCCTTTAGCAGATTTATTATAAATAGTACAGCCATGATATTTCTCCTCTCTTCCAGGGTTAGCATGTTTAGATCCGTGCATAAACTAATATAGTCAGCGCCTTGACTCGGATAAGCACCATGTTTTTTCCATGTTAAGTACTTCAAGAAGCGGCGTTGTACTTTTTCTAATTCATTTATATCTTTATTATAGGTCGGAGACCAAACAAGGACTGCATACTCTAATTTAGGGCGAACTAATGTGTTATATAGAACTTTAACTGTATTGATATTTTAAAATTTTTTTTGTTGTCCGAATGACATACCCTAAAGTCTTTAATGCAGATCTTGATATTGCTGAATAGTGTTCAGTAAAGGTAAGCTTTGAATCAAAGATCACACCTAAGTCTTTCGTGACTACTGATCTATTTACTTAAGTGTCGTTTATTTTATATGGAAAATATATAGGTTATTTTATAGGAAAAATAATATATATGGCTGCCGAAATCGCAGAAAAAGTCACCGAACTGACAATCGAAAAAAATTAACTGTATCGAAACGGAATTATTTTGGCACGCAATTTTCACAAGGGTTTTGATAAACTTCCTCAGGAATAAATCAAAAAAAAAATTAAATCGTGAAAGTGATTTTTGACAAAGTTGTGGTGTTATCAAGCCCATAGCTCCCGTGAATACCACGCTCTTATTCATTTAATTCATCAGAAAAACGAGTTTTTTCTGAGAAATCTTATTTAATCGATAAGGAAATTTTTTTAACGTGTTCTGTAGCTACTATTATTTATTTCAATATGCATTTTATCCATAATTTTTTTCGTTTAAATTATGAAAATCACGTTTTAATCGGAATCACGATTTTTAGGCGAGAGTAGAGCATACCTGCGCGCTTCGCGCTTAAGGCATGCAATATTAATAAGTTTAACGACCTCGCAGGCAGCCCTAAATTATTTAACGCTTTAATGAGCAAGATAGGATCAACTTTTATTTATTTTTTACTTTTTAGTTTCGTTTATTTATAAAAGCATATTTTTTAGTTATTTTAAACTATTATTTATTTTAATCTACCATTAATTCCGTGATTACTATTAGTAACTGTAATTATGACTTGACTATTGCGCCGAGCTGAGTGCTCGAACCAGAAAGGTACGCATGCGCAATATCACGCGCTTGCCTTATCTCTCTTGCTCTCACGCAAAGGATGCGTGAAAAAATCATTTAATCCTGACGAACCTAATTAAGATAATGGGATAATCTTATCAAATTAGTATATTGTCATCGGTCCTCGATAATTCGACGAAGTTTAAATGAAATCTGACCATTTGAAGTGGGTCAAAATCAAGTCCAAAGGAGTCGGTTACAAACATACAAACATACAAGTGAAGCTAATATAATAAAAAAAAAAATAATATAAAGCGTGTAAAAATTTATTTTTGATTAATAATTGTATATTGTGATTAGAAATTACTCTGTCTGTAAATCAAGACATCCCTAGCGGATCCATATACACCGTGTAAACTTAGTGTAAACTCGGTGTATACTTAGTGTCAGTGTAAATTAGGGGTTTATTTGGTGTATACTCAGTGCATATTGAGTATACACCAAATACACTCCAAGTTTACACTGAATTTACACGGTGTATATGCGCACAATATACACGGAGTTTACACCGAGTATACACTAAAAAATTTTTCCAAGTCCTCAGAACAAAAGTTGTCAAAAAAATTTAAAAAAAAAAATTGAAATTAAAAAAAATCAAATTTTGAAAAAAAATTAATATTTTTAGGTAAAGTACCCAGTACTTGAACAATTTTAAAAATGGCCCTCGTACTTGAACAGTTTGGAAATTCTTATATTATTAAAAAACTCCGGCAGTAAACATTAATATTTAATGTATATTATTAAGATAACTTGATGTCTTAGTTAATGATACAAGAAATATTTTTTAATGTCAAAGCTAAATATTATATTTTATTTAATATCTAATGACGGGATCATTGAAAGTGTCGATTAGTATCCATTTTTGAATGAAAATGATACCATAACAATAGAAAAATGGCGAAATAACCCAAAATATTTGAGAATTCATCAAAAAAACTTAACCAATCAAAAATATAGATCATTTTGCAAAATATTCTGTTGTTAATAATGA